AAGGCAGTTTGTTTTGAATCCGCTCGTCCTGTCTTATAAATACTAGACCCTCTCTTGTTTACATATGTGCTGGTTCATAATGGTGATTAACCAAAATTGGTGAATTCCGATCAATTTTGTGCCAGAAATTGATGCGCCAATGTTAATTAGCACCAAAAAAACTGTTTACATCACCATGCGAACGACAGGCTTACCAGCACGTAAATCAGCACAAGTTTAAACACCTCATAACGGAGGGAACATCCAACATACCCGCACCAGGTGATATGGTCCCACTCCACGCCTTTGGAAATAGATAAAATGTTTATCCTACTTTTGGTGCGAAATCTTCCAATCTGGCCCATTGTGTAATCGGTGACCATCCTTGGTGTCCAACTCTGCTAGATTTAAGTTTTATTTGTTGCAAATTGCAGCAATAACAAGGAGGTCTACAAAAAAGGCTTCACCAACCATTCAAGTGGTGCGTACGATTTGCTACCCGCACAATGTAGAATGTGAGCTTAATATTTATTTTGCTGTAAATAACACTATGATGAAGAGTCTTGGATTGCCTACGAATGGGAGTTCAATTTCCAGCTGACTTGACTCGGTGAATGATGGCTGACATACGGCGAATCTTCACTTGCACATTGCAAACAACGCCGGTGGCCAAATGGCAGTCCGAAAATTGCCTCCACCAGTCGCGTACGTTTTCAATTGAATAGTGCATATATTAATATCGAAACACATAAATGATAAATAATCCTCGCAAGTGATATCATCTTCATGATTTATCTGAATTTGATTTTCTCAATCCGTCTCCATCAGCTGCAGGCTGACTGACGGACCAGTATCAGAACGCGATGTCATGACAGTCAGAGATATTCGCGATCGTTATTCGGCGCATGGTGCGAACCGCTCACTTGGGTCTGATTTTTGCACCGTTTGTCAGTTTCTGAAAGGACATGATTCAGTAGAAACAGGAAGTGGGAGATTTCGACACTATTGTTTCCTGAGCTTAGAGCTGAGCAGGGCTCGTACATTCGTACGTCCTATTGCGATAGCAAACAACAACCAGGAGTTTATTCATTTACTCGGACGGGACCATCCGCTCAAATCGCAAATCTATCATCGAGATTGTGACTGCCATCATAGGAGCCCTCGAACGGAAAAATGTGGTGTGTCCCTGACAGCAAACGGAGAGAAGCAGAGTGAAGGGAATCCGATGAGCTCTCTTTGTGTTATTCGCGGCTTAACAAAGCAGCCGATGACTTCTAAACAGTGATAAATGATGGTTGATTGAAATTGAACAGTAAATTTCAAACATGACAAATTTTCTGTATTTTGATTGACTTTTGATGGAAAAGAATGGCGCTTCTTAAGCTGAAGGCGGGGGATGAGTGCGAATCGGGATACGGAAAAGTGAAATTAATTTAGACACAACGTGCAATTACGAAGCACACAGAATCAAGCAAACGATGGATGGGGTTTATGTCGTTTGCAAACGCCATCCGTCTGGTCTAAAAGGAATGTAATGAAGCATCAACCAGAGAGCAACATTTAAATTATTCATCAAACACAGCAACGACATTACGCTTCCGAATTTTCATGGTGTTCTGCGGCTGCAATTTCGAATGCCAGATTTCGTAAAAACCGACAATATCAATCCCGTAATTGCTGTGTAATGTAACTTGACTACTAGTAACAAAAAATGAGCAAGTCGTTATATAAAGCATTTTTTTTGCTGTTTGCTTGGGCGGATGTTAATCAGAGGGAAATTCAGAACAGCTCCAGTTACATAAAAAGCACTGTTGACAAGGCAGCGACGAATAAAAGGATTACCGCCGATGGAAATGTGCTTAAAAATTCATGATAATGGAAAACGATTCTGCGGCATGGCGGTGACGATGATGAATGAGCGTAAATGCAATGGTGAATGACGGGGTGGAGGTCGTCCCGAATTTTGTTCATATTTGGTATAACACGATTTGTAAATTAAAGGGAGAATTGTATTACAGGTGACCCGTGTTATGACGGAGTGGCGTTGACAGTTACACAATGTGGAAATTAGCTGCATCCCCATCTAACATGATACATTTGAAATCTGTGCGTGGATTGCCTTATCTTGAATTGCTAATATTTTCTGAAATTACTCTTGGCTACCATGTTCAGAGACATAAATGAGCATATTTACAATTATCTTTCATCCGAACTGGTGTTCTTCTTATTAACTGCAAGATGACACGTCAAGAATAAATTAGTTCCTAAGATTTGAAATGCAGGTGTGAAATATTTAATGACTCCACGCAACACTTCCTTTTCATCTTCGATACTCATCGCCCTACACTGAGGACGCGCTACACTGCCTGGTCCATCTATCGAGCAAAGTGTGGCAAGATCAAGATGATGCGATAAATTTACGTTTGTGACCCGGAATAAAAGCAACACACCAGGAAGATTGATTTATTTACCTTTCCGCATCACAACAACATCGCGCGAGTATGTTGCACGCTTCCGACCAAACCTGGGAACTCTCGACATACGACGACAGAGTGGAGACGACGTTGTTGAGGGAGTGATCATTAACCTCGGTCCCCATCGGTGCAAGCTTTGGTTTGATTTATCAACACTGACGTCAATGAAACCACTGAACTGAAAACACGTTCGATAGTCTTATTTGAGGTTCGATAGAGACAGAGCCGGAGTGAGAGAGAGAGAGAAAGCTGCTAAAGACGCTTGACAGTCTTGGTCCTGTCTTCATTTCACGCCCTTATCGGAAGTGTTGGTTGACAGGTTCATGAAAAATTGAAAGGTGCTGCAACGATCATCCGCCATGGGACATACAGGAAGGGTTGTCTCGCACAGAGATGCTATCGGGAAATCATTTTCAAATAAAAAAAAAATCAACTATTACATCACCTATCCCTAGTAGGCGATGCCGATGAATCGGGAACCTGACAGAAAACGGTTAGATTACAGACTGCTTGGATGCTTTACCAGGTGCCTGCTAAAGACCTATCATCAAAGTCAAACAATGCCGAAATCAATATAGATTTTCATTATTATTTGCCTCGCTTCGCTTTCCTTGGAAACGGGCTGGGCAGTAGCACACCGAGCGGTCAGAACGAGCACAACAAAACGTATGATAAAGATCTCTTTATAAATTTGTTTTGATAGCCTTTCAAACATGCATATTTGATCGAGACTACTGCGGCTCTTGAGTCGTGATTTTTAATTGTATTTATTTAGAAAAAAAATCAGTAGATACACTCCGCAATGCATTACCGCACATCGCGATCAACACTGCTGTTGGCGACAATCGGTGGTTGTCATTGAAGGGTGCAAATGAGCTTTGCTGTGTAGCACCTACATGTACCTTGTTGAGAATTTTGTCCAACTATCATACGCGTCGATAAGCGTCATAAACATTAGGTTGAAAAAAAAAAAACAATGACCAACAAGTTGCTTATTTCATGTACAACAATCAGTTCCGATTGGAGTCTACTAAGTGACGACACGAAGCACTGTTCTTAGTAGCGATCGATTGGGTTGGTTTGAGTGAAGAAAAGAAGTGTGACATTACCTGGAAGTGCCCCTGGATTGAATATAAAATAAAATATTAATTCCATCAATAATTCATCGGTGGCCTAAAGTGAAGCTCTGTCAGTGGCAGTCGCTGTTGACTTCAATCGCTCCCTACAGTCCATCAGCCAAAAGTGTATGTCTAAATTAAATAATGCATTACCATATAATTAAGACACTTTTGATGCGCGACTACCCGTTTGTCGTCGAAGCCAAATGTCATAGTGAAAAGACACATGCATTGGCATTGTCAAACCATTTTCGAACAAGGGAAGAAACAAAACGATGAGTGGTGTAAAATAGTTAACATTTCCTGTCTTCGTACGTACAATATGTTTACGGCGAGTTTCGGTTGCCAATCGAAGGCGAATTAGCATGCAACAACATTGAGTAAAATACGCCACGCAATGTATCATCAAAGTGTACTACGACTGTGATATGGCGGCAAATCGGTAAATCACTCATCGCCTACTTTGCCCTGCGCATGTACCTACTGTAGTCTAGTGAATCTGTCTTCAATGCTAACGAAATGGTAAATATTTTGTTTTAACAAGTGTTTTCTGTGGAAACCTACCACTATGTGCCACCGTCAATATGTCGCTTGCTCATTCAAGAGATCAATCATTACACAGAGTTATCAAGTCACGAGAAGGAACGCTTCTGACAGGAAGCGAAGAAGAGGGGATACGTTGGATGTGTGAACTGATCAAAGGGTGCCAGCGAATGTGTTTGACGTACTTGTGGAAACACTTAAATAAATGGTAGCTTGGGCATATCATCGGCATTAGAATATGGTTTGAAACACGAGGTATTGGGCAAAGTTGATTTAGTTGTGAAGTTTCCAGAATATTTCACGACAGTCATAAATATGTCATCAGCTTGTTTGATTCCAAGAGAAACAACCCGGCAAAGATCACAGACTCTCCGAAAGTCAAAACATTCTCTTTCACTCTCTGATCAGAGAGTGACATACATTTGCGTCGAACGACGAGGAGGAGGTCGAATCAACTTGTCATTTTTTGTCCCGGTTGCTTCGGCGGTGCACAAAATTCATTAAAAACCAAGCCTGCAGCGTTTGACGATATCCACTTCTTTCTTTGACAAGCGAAACATCTTCATAAATTTGTCGTAATTTCGTAATGAGAAATCGTTCCATGTCTCTCTCGCACGCTAATGAGACTACGACGAGAGGAAATTAATTAATCACAGTACATGAATCTGTGAGGAGGAAACATGTGTTCTCGATTTTTTTTTTCTTCCTTTAGTCCTAACTTTGGCCACGGGACAACAAAACAACGAGGCATCACGCCCCTCAAGGCGATACATTCCGAGCGAATTTCCATACCACCAAGCGACAAACCGAGGAAATGATCCATTAGGCGTGGGGGATCTGAATCAGTCAGTGGCGTAAAATATTGATAAATTTAATTAAAACTTACGAGTTGAAAGGGTAACCGAAGGCAGCGTCGTACGGGTGGTAAACGGAGGGATAAGGCCATGGTGCACCACCTGCTGCTAGATTTTCCTTCAGGTCGATTCCGGCAGCCTGGAACAGAGGATTAAGAAAATTTTGAAGAAATATTAATCATGCAAACTGTTGAGTGAGCACTAAGCAGTAAATCGTTGAAAATAGCAAAAGAAAAAAAACTGCTTCGCTCATAAATGCCATGCCATAAATCTCGTTGACTACGCTGTTAATCAAAATACCACTAATTCAAGGATCAAAGGTTACGACTTAAGTACTGATAAGGATGGTTCATCATGTGTTTTTTTTTTGAGTGCGAAGTATGTACTTGTTTTAGACATTAATTAGATGCTGGACAGTTGCAGTTTTTTTTAATGATAAACGTTTTGAATTCACTTTGTTTAGTGAAGTGGTTAGATGTGATATTTGATAATTAATGGTAATAGTAATAATTTTCATTGATGCTTTGTAACACAAAGCAAGATTGCTAGTCAATAAATAAAATATAAATCTAAGGGTTTATTCCCGTGCTTGCTTTTCTGTGAAATTCCGACGGGAACAGACCTATTGAATTTAAAACGTTGCAATAAATTGGTAGGGTAAGTGCACCTTTTTTGGCAAAAGTTTCCTATTTTGTCCATACTTCAGTAAAAGCGATTAAATCACAATCTTTTGCGTTTTGTGGGCAACATGTATATATTGAATCCCAACGAATATGGGTTGAATCTACAATCTAAAAATAACTCAAGATCTCAAACCTATATGTAGTTTAAGGTCAAAATTGTGTTAACACTACTATTTTATATCAAATTTTAATTTAAATCATGTATGTATATGATTGTTTTTACAAATTCAGACGGACAAAAAATAATTGATTAGGGTGACACTATTTCTTCAAAACAAGAAAATAGATGCTATAATTAGTGGAAAACAAGGTGTGCCGAGCGGTCGTCTAATAAGTTTCTTCTTAACTTTAAAAATGTGTCGGTGCTTAATAAACTTAATTTCATTAGTACATTAGAACATATTTTTTTTTCCTCTGTTCGGGACATAAAACCACTGCGACCAGTAATTTGATCTATTGTAGTATATCCCGTGTCCTTAGTTTAGTGCATGTCGTATTACTCCATCACTATTGAGAAATGATGAAGCATTCGATTTTTTTACAGTTGTCATTCTCGCATTTATCGCAAGGATCCGACTCTAATTGAAAGGTCCCGCTATTTATACCCTTCGGAGTGTTGGAACACCCTCCAAAGGCGCGCTCCTTTGTCAATCAAAATTGGATCTCTTAGCAACAAAAACAAGCAATGACAGCGATAATGACCATGCATCAGAACCCTAGTCTTAACCACTTCAAACTAGGGAACAATGAATAGAAGATTTGGAATCACATAGGTGAAGACTAACTCATTTTTTCCTTGTTTCAAGATCATCCTCGGTCAAGGCAACCCGGGGACTTGTCACTATCAACAAGGCATAAAAAGTAACAAGGACTAAGATGTGTTCCTTTGATTACTGAAAAATCCTGTTCCCCTAGTCTGAAGTAGACAAGACTAGGAATCGGTGGTAGATCTTACATCCCGTAACGTACCACGAAAAGGTGATCTACCCACGTTACGGGGCTACATATATTTTAATATATATTTAGGGAATTAGAAACATAAACACATATTAAAAATTATGTTGAAGTCCGAAAGTTAACTACTGTAACATAAGTACCCAAAACTGACACACTTACTCCATAAAAAAAGGTAGGATGATGATTGAATACAAGTTTATTGCTTATAATTAGAGTCGGTGTATGAGAGTCACGCTGTCACGCATGAAGGAAGCCAAGTCTACCTATTGAACTGTCAAACCTATCGTATAAAGTAAACAAAAATTTTAGTGCTATGAAAGTTCCACGAAAGGAATTGTATTAAAATGTAAAATATAATCAAAGAAATGATCGTTTGGTAATGATCAGAAATGAACATATTTGCTTTTTAGTATTTTAGCACCAAAACCTTGACCCATAAAATGTCGATAGGTCTAGTTTCTAAGTGACAAAAAACAGAATCCATTGATTGTGCCTTATTGAGATGGGTTATGTACATCATTTTTCTTGTGATAACCGAGAGAGGTCAGGTGGGTCGAAAATGTTTGGTGTACTTTACACGAGCATAGACTGATTTCTCTCAGCATGGAGGTACAGTGGGTCCCGTGACGAAGATGATAAGGAGAGCGAGGCGTTTACATGAAATCTGACACTTAATTAATTTCAGAAATACAAATTATTGACAAGCACTAATAATTCTGCGCAGTCGACGACGAGTTGCTATCATCTGAGTGCTATTTGTTGTTGGATTCTTGCTCTGGTAGTAGTGCTTACGAGTGGTGATAGTAAATGTTGTTTACTTTATTATTTTTTGCTGCAGAATAAAATGGCACTAACTGAGAAATTATGCACCTGATATTGAAATGGACAGAAGCAAAAATAAACATGGTTCAGGTTGAGGCTCGGTATATTTAGTGCATATTAGCATCACCCCGAATCATCACCCGGTTACGCCTTCTTATCACCTACAAGCGTTCGTGAAAACATTCAGCACACAGAATTCGGTAGGTGATAATCTGTGTGCGCATGCCTTCATTATCCCATTAATTACTAGCAATTGACGGTCCGAGGCTAATCGAGGACTGTATTTCGTTGGTGTTTTATTTTGCAAGTACAAAAACATGTGTTAAAAGCGTGATAGGGTTAATCTGGGGTGGTCTCATTGGACGAGTCAAAAGGTCACATTCCAAGGACACCATACAAAGCAAAACATAAATTTTAATATTACATCCTAGATCAATCAATCATGTCGAAAATCTCATGTAAATTTTATGGCCACAAAAATAAACAAATGCAGTAAAAGCAGCGTAATGTTTATGCACTGTATTAATGATAATTTTGTCATTTTTGGCAAGTAATATTACACCATATTTTCGACACGATTGCTGTGCATCCACTTTGATGTGATATTAAAATTATGTTTTTGCTGTGTAGATAGAGAGGTATCGGCTTATTGCAAGTAGGTATCTGTAGTAGATTAAAAATCTAGTTGTTTTTTTAATTGTCAGGCCTTATCGGAATTTGTCCGATTAAGTCTACTGATACATTTTTACATTGATATTATTTTTCAAAGGTAACCCTACTGCACTAAATATCAATACAATATATTTATGCCAATTTATACCCACCTCAATAACTGTACATTTTAATCATATTGCTGAACGGTCCGACACTAAATGTGTAACATAATCGGTTGCCTGTTATTATCGGCCGTCTGGCTCAATCGCGTTTATTGACTAATTGCATTCAAGTTGACGGCTTCGTTTGCTTATCATACAAAAAGTAGTTCACCGTTGTTGGTCCAAGTGCAGTAAAAGCACATTGAAATATTCGCAGGAATAAATACCACACTGTTCGTAATGCAATCACACACACTTTTTTGCGTAATTTGTGGCAATAAAAAGAAGCTCCATTCATAAATTGAATATAAAAACAGAAGCAAACTGCACATCCAGTACGTGACTTTCGTTCCAAAATAGGACTGGCAGAAGGAACTCGGGTGGAAATATTGAAATTTTCATGCCAGGCATGATTGGCGTATGTGATGTCCGAAAGGAGCACTCTGCGGTCAATCAGACCCGGCCGTTTACAACATCGATGCAGGCCACTGCCAATCGCTCACCACTACCATCGCAAACCCGAACGAGGATAGTTTATGTTTACACCGATTTAAGCCGTGTTCGACAGACTTTATGATGTTAACGGGTTTGCGCGCTGCCCAGTAAACAAACATCCGCAATCGCGTGCTTTATCAGGGTGCGCGATCGGGAGCTGAGCACAGTTAGTTTGTGGAGGATCTAAGCATCCAGCATGTAGGTTCATCGGATGAGGACCTCACACGCGATTGTTTAACAAATTAGCGAATGATTTAGATTGATTTGTTGATGCTCTTTGGCTCTGAAGCGTTTCCAAGTGTTGCAATAACAAATGTCAGCGGAATTATAGCCCTACAGCAGCGAACTCTGCTCTACGAATGACAAACCCTTCAGTACGATGTATTGTTGATGATTTTAGGGCGGTCTAAGTAGCACTAATTTTCTGAGAAGTAATTATCACCACCACCGGCACTCACACTCACACACACAATATCCCTCTCGTCTGTCCAAATAAAGCTGTAAAACTCTGGCTCCAACCATAAACAGGTTGTAAAAGTAAGCTGTTATATGCTTCTATGCGGAAAACGAGAGTTAAGAGATACTCAACTGGCAGTCGCCATCGTCGTCATCCACAGGAACGAATTTCGAAAAATTTTCACCTAAAATTAATAAATTATGCATGTGCGCATTTTGAAGCCCCTCACCCGTTCTCTGAAGGTGCTACAGAGAGGTACCATAGTTTGCGGATGGAGTTTAAGTCGGTGTTCCATTTTCCCAATTCCTAGCTGCCTGATCTTTGGTAGTAAGGATGCTGTACGCAAATGGTACCTTTATTACCAAAAAAGAAGGGATCAAGGAATTCTGAAAAAATAAAGAATTACGGCTGATGCTCCATCCGCAAACAACGGTACCTCTCTGTAGTTCTATTCTAACTTTGGAGAGATCCTTCTTCGTGAACTGCCGTCAAGAAGGTAGTTAAGATAAATTATACGTACATAAAAGTAATTTTTATTTTTATTACCTACATATTTTTCATCTCTCTCTCTCTCTCTCTCTCTCTCTCTCTCTCTCTCTCTATCTGATCGCTGTCTCGGTTAGCCATGCACGAGAAAGCATCCGAGTCACGTTTGCTTGGAACTGCTTCAGCTGAATGCATATTATTGGAGTCATTCATTGTTTTACTCCGAAAAATAGCAGCAAACGGTTGACTGTGGGTAATTTGGCTAAATGAAATGAATAGGGGAAGTGAAGTGGGCATAAAAGTGGAGGAATTTGTTCGGTTGAGAGGAGAACCAGCCAGCAAGGATAGACTCGTCAATTTTGACTGTGAAAACGGGCTTTCGAGATGCGTATCTTTCCTTCGGGTAGGGAGAGCGGATCGTTCG